ATTCTTGATTTGCCATATGCTATCTTTAATAAAAAATCTATTAGAAATAGATCATAGCCTGCAAGTTTTCTCCGTAAAGCTTCGTACTCTGACCTAATTATTACTAAGTAATAATAAAAGCTTATCGAAAAGAATGTCATATCTTTGTTGGATGACGTAGTTATATAAAGTGGGGGACGTAGTTATATAAAGTGGGGGACGTAGTTATATAAAGTGGGGGGCACATTCCTAAAGTGGTCTTTTGTAGTGGGAGAACGTTGATCAAGGGAGAAAACATAACTGAAAGGCTTGTCAGCGCTATAAATAAACATTCTATTAACGTTTTCACAATCCGATGTTTGAATAGCTTTTTATGTAAATAGTCGCATATTTCCTTTACGTTGTTGAGTGCCTCGTTTGCTTAGCATTACATGACATAATCGAATTGCTGGTCACGCAGATTATACGATATAGAAAAGTGTTACGGAAAATACAATAACTTTAAAATGGAAATAGCTTATTAATACACTGCATTTAAATATTAGACAATTCATTATTACATAACTTTTGTAATCTGTCGAAAATTGTTAAGCTTTCGTTTGTCTGAAAATGGGTGACAGCAATAAATATAGTAAAGACATCATTTGGTTCTTGAGCCGATGAATCGTGTGTGAGTGTGTGTGAGGAATGGCCGGGGGTATAAAATCTATTGAAAGAAAACTTTTATCAACGTCGTTTAAAAACCACACGCTAAGTAATTTATTATGGAGAGTGAATACTGGTATTTGATAGTATGATGTGTGATGTCTGTTTTCGTATGTCTCTAACGTAATTTCTTTTACTAACATCCAAATCAATGTGTGTACATTTAACTTTATCTGATGTTACCACTATTAAATAGCGTATGTCGTTAACGTATTTTTTTTTACTAACATCCACATTACTGTGTGTATATCTAATTTTACCTCATGTAGCAACTATTAAATATCGTATGTCGTTAACGTAAATGTCACTAACATCCACATTATCGTGTGTATATCTAACTTTACCTGATGTAGCAACTATTAAATATCGTATGTCGTTAACGTAAATGTCACTAACATCCACATTATCGTGTGTATATCTAACTTTACCTGATGTAGCAACTATTAAATATCGTATGTCATTAACGTAAATTTTATCAACATCCATATTATTGTGTGGATATCTAACTACCTGATGGTACCACTATTACAAATTACGCTCTACACCACACCAATCTTAACTCACCCCCACCCAGTGCACGTGCACGCCGACCCCGTGGAGGACGGCACCCCCTACACCCTGACCTGCAGCACCAACAGCAGCCGTCTCATGCTCTACTGGATGTCTCAAGGTCACGAACTCACCTACGAGGTCAAGGCCTCCTGTAACCTGGAACAACTGAAGTGCTCACCCAACACCTCCTCCACGCATGCTGCGGTCACCAGAAATGGCACGACGGTCACCAGCTCACTGCACATCAACATGACAACAAACCTGACCAATATCTTCTGCGACGTCGGCAGTGATGGGTTCTACTACTTCCCTATAGTCGCCTTCTGTAAGTGCAGTTTACCATAAGACTTTTATAAGTAAATTAAACCTTTTGAACATGGCGGTACAGGGAGCAGATGAAGTAGAGTTTACATGTTTATATAAAGAGAAATTATTTTAGCGCTATACCTAAGCGCCTATACTTTGCCAAATCGGTCCAGGTACTCATTAGTACTGTGTGGACTCAGGGACATTCTACAGATTGCACACAAGGATCAGAACTTTAGACTTTCAAACTTGCAGTCGTGCACTCGAGCGTCCGACTAAATCTTTCATACATCGTTCAATTGATTTAATAAAATTCGATGTCCAAAATCTGTGTCAACAAACACATTGGAATTTTACAGCTCTCTACATATTTATGGGAACAAAACACGAACAAGAATATCTGCAATTCATATAACTATACTGCAATTGCCTTTTTAAATACAAATCTAGTATCATAAGATTTAAATATAAGTCTAGCGATGTAAACAAGTATGTTAGTGTTGATCCCGTTTTAAGTGACAATTTCTGGCACTTTTTTCTCCAGGCAGAGCTCAGCAGGTCACGTGTTTTACACCTAGTCTCACGACGTCATCCACCCACCTGAGTGTGGAATGCCAGACGGAGAAAATCTATCCTAAACTTGTGTGCCAGTTCTACAGCGCCAACGAGGTTTGTAGTAGAGATTCGTTTTACCTAAATTTTAAAAAATAAAGCTTTTTAATATCAATCATTCGTATATATATATATATATATATATATATATATATATATATATATATTATATATATATATATATATATATATATATATTATATATATATATATATATATATATATATATATATATATATATATATATATATATATATATATATATATATATATATATATATCGACTTTGTAAGTGTAAACGTTTTATGAAACACATTTCAAACAATTAAAAAAAAAGAGTTGGCGTGGGGGGGGGGGGGGGGTATCTCTGTGTGTGTGTGTGTGTGTGTGTGCATACGTAGGCTTATTTTATTCGATCTCAAGAATATTCTACCTTAAAACAAGATTTAAATTAAGTATACAAGCACTTGAAAAATGCACATATCATTACTGGTTTTAAAAAAACATTAATGCAAAAAATTCTACTCAGATAATTTAGGAATGACAAGGACTGCAACTCAGACCAGCAAGTATAACAATATATTTATCTAGTTATGTCCTTTACGTACCAGTTGATATCGCGTAAACCAGGGGTCTCCAAACTACGGCCCGCGGGCCGGATGCGGCCCGCGAGTTCATTTTATCCGGCCCGCGACGATCTTTTTGTCCACTGAAAAAATGTTTGTTGGAGGTGTCTGAGGAGCTTTGCACAGAAAATTCAAAACTATCTGAAAATGTAGCTTTGTGTGCAAATATAATTACTCGCCGTGTTGCAGACATTGTTGAAAACATTGCGACTCAAATAGCAAAAAAATTAAGCAAATTTCGCCATTTTTCAATTGCAATGGATGAGTCGCTGGACAGCTGTTCCACCTCTCAACTTCTTGTGTTCATTAGAGGTGTGGATGAAGACATGAACATAACACAAGAGCTGGCTTGCCTACATATAATGTATGATACTGTTACCAAAGAGGATATCTGACCATAGATAGTTCAGAGACAAACACAAAATCGCAAGATTTAACATATTTCACATCAGTAAGATTGCCAATTTTGCGAGAAAATTCTGAGCAGAGTATCTAAGAAAATAAATAGGTGACTTCCTGATTGTAAAGGCAAGTCACAGCCATTATTGTCTGATGAAGAGTGAGTATAGAAATTGGCCTCTACTGCAGACATAACTAGTCTTTTAATTTTTCGGAGCCTAAAAAGGCAAGAGAGTGAAATCTAGTTTCTGATGCACCCACCTAAAGGCCTTTAGATACAAACTTGTCATGTTTTTGGAACTAGTACAGGCTAACAACTTGACGCACTCTCAGCAGTGCGAGGTCTTTACGGCTGAAGCAACAGCTGAGTTCCCCACGTCATTTAGATACGAGATCATTAAAGACCTCCAGCTGCAGTTTAAGTAGCAGTTTTCTGACTTGGATTCAAAGGCAGAAGAAGTGAGACTGTTTCAAAGCCCATTTGAAGCAAATGTGGCCAGTTGAAAAGATGAATTGCAGCTGGAGGTCATTGAATTGCAAGAAAATTACCTCATTAGAGACAAGCTAAAAGAAGGGCGGATGGGTTTTCACACGTTTTTGCACGAGGAAGACTTTCCTAACATTAAAACTTTTGCATCAAAGTACCTTTCAAATTTTCGAACAACATGCTGTGTGAACAAACATTTTCAAGAATGAATTACGTGAAGAACAATTTGAGAGCAACGTGGACCTCGAGTGGGAGGGGGGGGGGGGGGGTGGACACTTGAAATTTGTAAATATTTCTATACAAATTATATTTCGTTGGGGGGGGGGGCGGTAGACGTTCTTCGGGGGGAGGGGGGGGGGGAAGGGCGCCACACGACCCTGAAGAGATGCCTTAAAGAAAGTCTGGCCCCCGAACTGATATTTGATAGTCAATGCGGCCATCTGGCTGAAAAGTTTGGAGACCCCTGACGTAAACCAATGCAACTCTGCACTGTTAATAGACATAGCAAGGGAACTAACTGGATAATTAGCCATGTTCAGCAAAGTAAAAATAAATAAATCACTAATGGTGTGCTTCCGTAATTATAATAAAAAGAAAAAAAAAGGAATGCTTTGTTACAATCACAACTGATACTAACCTAATTATATATATATATATATATATATATATATATATATATATATATATATATATATATATAATCCACCTAGGCATTAGCCAGAGAAAATATCACGTATACAAACATACAATACACGACAAGTGTGAAGACGCCCTACTACAAGTCTACCTGTATGATGAGCATCCCATTGGTCAGGCTAAAGGCTGGGTTACAGACATTCTTCGCTACTCTCTCTCCTAACGTTACCATGGGAACCCAGTACGGGGTCAATTCGTCCGCAGTTACTGTAAACCTCTGTAAGTTATCATAGTGTGATGCATTGATCCATTGCATCTATGATGTAATGTGATTTATGTTTAGCTTAAAGGAGTTACCGGTTTTTGATGTGAATTCAGAGCTTGGCCTGTCTATTTGGTAAACTATCGGATATTGTCATCGATATATTAGGTTTTCCTAGCTAGTCCGCATTGTTTTTTTTTAATCGAGTAAATTATAATAAACCAAAATATGAAATTATTAGCAGTTAGATCGAATTTTTAGATTCTTTTAAATTGTTTTTAATGTATTCTAAACAAATCAAGATCTGTATCGTTGTTTTAATTTTGAGAGTGTAGTAATAAAAAAAAATAGGTATTATGGGAAAACAAACAGGGTCTAAACTAATCTGAAATGTCACCGATATATCTCTATGTTTGTGTATGTTAACCTTACAATAATGCCCTCAGCTCTGCCCACATCTGCCCTGCAGACAGACTGCCCAGGTGAGAGCGATTACCTCAGGGTGGGGCAGATGTATGTCTGCACCTGCAGGAGAACCAGCCTGGGGAACCCACCTGGTCAGGTGCAGTGGGTGACCTCTGATGGACAGGTCATGGGTGTGAGTGCAGAGGACGGCAGTTGGTCGAAGCTAAATATAACCTACAGCCTGAGCAGTGAGTAATCGCTTAGGCATGTTGAATCGCTTATAGACGTTTATCCATTGTCTCTTATTTTTAATTTTTCTTTTTTTCTCTGGTAAAAATGTTGATAGGTCTAGCGTTTATTGATATAATCAATAATGACACAGGCATAAAAAAAAAGAAATTGAATCGATCATCGGTGGATGAGTCATTATTCTCTTTTAGGCCACCATAACTGTGGCATGGTAAGTTAATCAAAGAAAACAAACTTTGTAATAATAAAATATTTACCCCCAGATGCCGTCTACATTTGCAGTGGCGTTTCTGCATTGGGTCGCGAAAATTCGCTCAACATTTTACGTCTCAAGTTTCAAGGCAAGTAACTCTTTTAGACTAGAGTACAAAGAAAGCAATTTTTATATTGCGAAAAGAGAAAGTAATTAAAATTCTACTTACGTCACAAGGTCTGGATGTTTGTGGGTAGGTGCTGGATAGGTGCTGGGTAGGTGCTGGGTAGGTGCTGGGTAGGTTCTGGGTGGGTGCTGGGTGAGTGCTGGGTAGGTGCTGGGTGGGTGCTGGGTAGGTGCTGGGTAGGTGCTGGGTAGGTTCTGGGTGGGTGCTGGGTGTGTGCTGGGTGGGTGCTGGGTAGGTTCTGGGTGGGTGCTGGGTGGGTACTGGGTAGGTTTTGGGTGGGTGCTGGGTGGGTACTGGGTAGGTTTTGGGTGGGTGCTGGGTGGGTGCTGGGTGGGTGCTGGGTAGGTTCTGGGTGGGTGCTGGGTGGGTACTGGGTAGGTTCTGGGTGGGTGCTGGGTGGGTACTGGGTAGATTCTGGGTGGGTGCTGGGTGGGTGCTGGGTAGGTTCTGGGTGGGTGCTGGGTGGGTGCTGGGTGGGTGCTGGGTGGGTGCTGAGTAGGTTCTGGGTGGGTGCTGGGTGGGTACTGGGTGGGTGCTGAGTAGGTTCTGGGTGGGTGCTGGGTGGGTGCTGGGTAGGTTCTGGGTGGGTGCTGGGTGGGTGCTGGGTGGGTTCTGGGTGGGTGCTGGGTAGGTTCTGGGTGGGTGCTGGGTGGGTGCTGGGTGGGTGCTGGGTGGGTGCTGGGTAGGTTCTGGGTGGGTGCTGGGTAGGTTCTGGGTGGGTGCTGGGTAGGTTTTGGTGGGTGCTGGGTAGGTTCTGGGTGGGTGCTGGGTGGGTGCTGGGTAGGTGCTGGGTAGGTTCTGGGTGGGTGCTGGGTGGGTTCTGGGGGGTGCTGGGTGGGTGCTGGGTAGGTTCTGGGTGGGTGCTGGGTGAGTGCTGGGTAGGTGCTGGGTGGGTGCTGGGTGGGTTCTGGGGGGTGCTGGGTGGGTGCTGGGTAGGTTCTGGGTGGGTGCTGGGTGGGTTCTGGGGGGGGGGGGGAGGTTCTGGGGGGGAGGTTCTGGGGGGGGGAGGTTCTGGGAGTGTTGGTGTTCACGGCACATGTTCGCAAAATTTGTTAGTCGAGACAAAAAATGAGAGGCATTTAATATGACTACGTAGAGTTTTAGTTCCTTTTACGAATCGCAGTTAGGTATCGAAGGAAGTGAACGCACATTTTTTTGCAAGACTTTCTCTAGGTTTAACCTCGGACATGTTTTTGTCTTCCTAGAATTAATTTACCCTCACGTTAATGTAGTGCTAAGAATACGATGGTTAAACCACCAGCTTTAGTTTTCTTGTTATTTCCTCAGGTAAAAGTGAAGTTCTGTCTTTCACTGTGAACGGACAAAGTGGTCGAGTATCTACTCACCTGGGTGACGTCACAGAGTTTACCTGTACAGCATCCGGTAGTCCCCCACCCCAGGTGTCCATAACACGAACACGTGGTGTGTCCGTGGTGGCGACAGAGGAGAGTACCACCAGCATCCATCACGTGATACCAAGCTTCACGTGCGATGATGTAGATGAGTACATCTGTCAGGTGCAAAACGGGGACGGGGTCAGACAAGCCAGCAGTGTCGTTGTTGGTTCTAGCTGTGAGTAGTGTCGTTGTTGGTTCTAGCTGTGAGTAGTGTCGTTGTTGGTTCTAGCTGTGAGTAAAATAGTGTCGTTTTTTTCTCTTTTTTTTCACTTTTTTTTGCCTCATACATGTAATTTACAGCGTCAGTTGTGTGTGTTCGCTTTAGTATTACAGTTTTCATCATAATGCATATAAATTTGTTTTTTTTGTTGTTTTTTTATATATATAAATTTATGTTTAAGAAATGACCATTTCAAAACTAATCAAAAATGTTGAAATTAATGAAGACATTCAGCCTAGCTTCGCTTAGGTTTTCAGAAAACTTAAGGCTTCTTTAATAATATAAATTTAATATTTTATTGAATTAACTTTTGTAATTAATTTTTACAATTAAAGTGCAATACATAACGTTAGTAAAAACGAAATAGTTATTTAAAAGAATGCTATACTTCGTGATTTTTTTCTTTTCTTTAAAAAAAGTATAAAAGTTATTTTAAAAGTATTACTTTAGATAGTAATCTCCCCTGTACATAGACCAAATGACGTAGCCTTTGTTTACTTTTTCGCAAACCATTGTCTATATCAGGGGTTCCCAACCCTGTGCCCGCGGGCACCATAGCGCCCATTGAACGATTCGTATGTGCCCACCTCTCACTATTCGACAGATACAGAATTTTTTTCATAAACTTTATTTTAAAATATGATTTGTTACAGTTTTAATTTTTTTTGACTGCCTAGGTTTATTAAATATGTTCGATACTTGTCCCAACTTGTCTAGCGGCGAGCCAGACTGCACTATTTACGCTAGCCTGGAACGGCTAGTGCCATTTGAATCATTTTTTCGGTTCGACATATTTATTCGAATCATTGTTTACAAACATGAACTTAATAAAATCAAGATATAGATCTCAACTCACAGATCTTTATGATTGTCTGCTAACAGGATAATCTTCATACGCTCCTAATTATGAAGCTCTGACCAATGAAATGCAATGCCAAAGATCACATGGACTTTATTATATTTTTTAATTAAATCTTTTCTTTGTATTTATGTGTTTTGTTTACTTTCTTTACGTTTTGTAAATACATTTCTCTCTGTGTATGCACTTTTAAAAAAAATGCCAAATAATTTTATTATTTGAAACATTTTTGTTTATTATTTATTAATACATTATGACAATAAGAAAATAAGAACATACATTATGGGAAAATGACAAGTTATGGAAGGAGTTTGTCGATTTAAAATAGGTGGTGCCCGCCACCCTACCGATATTTTAGAATGTGCTCTAGAGTAAAAAATGGTTGGGAACCCCTGGTATATATAAGAAAATATCAAGGGATGGGGGATCGTTCGTAAAAAGTTTTATATATATATATATATAGATCAAATTACGAGAATTTCACTCGTGGTCATCTCTCGAGGGCTTTGAGTCAAACCGACAGTTTTTTTTTTCCATACGGCCTAACCACTTATCTAGGTGCATGCAAAAAATTAGCCTGATGTACAAAGGGTGAGTACCATGAAATCGTTGTTGAAATTACCCTCTGTTTTTCACATAAAATACAAAGGTTAATTAGGGAATTACAACCAGTCCGTTTTGACCACTTTAGGAAGTTTTCCAAGATGAGGCGCGTTTTTTCCGACACCGACACCCCTAGGTGTTCTTCTATCACCTCACAAAATATCAAGGGGGTCGTTCGACAAAATTGTTTTTTTGTAATTTAGCTCATATAAAGAGAATTTTACTCGCGGTCACATTTTAGCCCTCGTCGAGGGCTTTGAGTCAAACCGACAGTTTTTTTTTCCATACGGCCTAACCATTTATCTAGGTGCATGCAAAAAATTAGCCTGATGTACAAAGGGTAAGTACCGTGAAATCTTCGTTGAAATTACCCTCTGTTTTTCACATAAAATACAAAGATTATATAGGGAAATACGACTGGTCAGTTTTGACCCTTTTCTAGATTTTTCCCGGATATTGCGAGTTTTTTCTGACACCCCTAGGCGTTTTCCTACCACCTAACAAAATATCAAGGGGGTTCGTTGGGCAAAAGTAATATAGCCCATAAAGGTGCCGGTCAGCCGAGGTCAGTTTTGACCCCTCATTGTGGACTTTGCGGCCAACCGGCACCGTCCCCCGTGTTCTGTTGTTCCAACATGAGCCCTATCGGCACCCGACAACTTTGATTTATATACATAGAATATATTTTTATAAAATATTGAAAAATAATGTAACATTGATACAATTCGTTAGAAAATTTGTTTAAGTTACTTAATGTATGGCCGACGTCTAATCTGAATAGACCTAGTTGTATTATATATTTTTGTTTTAAAAAACTAAAATCACACGTGTGTACACACCAGTCGATTTTCTTGTCCACATCAGGTCCGTGTAAGCTTCAGCCAAACCAACCAAGTTCTGTCAACCTAACAGTCAGTGTTGGAGGGAACGCCTTACTGACTGTCCACCTCTTCTGCAGTCCCAAACCGGATGTGTTCACTTTGACCTTCACCTTGGGCGGGTCGCAGTTTGAAATCAACCGTCAGCGCTACTCAGTCATGTACCAGGAGGAAACTCCGTTCTACGGCGGTGCCAACTTAGCCATGTACGACATGCAGGATGGAGACTTCCGTCAGTACACTCTGACCGTGGACAACGGGGTGGAGAATTCATTGAAGTTTTTTTTCTCTTTGACTAAAAAAAGTAGCAGTAAGTATATTTTTTTGCAATCATAATATAATGCATTAACTTGAAATTGAAGACATGGTATGTTATCAGTAGCGTGACAAGTAGAATAAAAATATAAGCAAGTATATAAGGTAGTGTCGTCGTTCAATGCACAAATTACATGGTTTGTTTTTTCCGCTGGAAACAATTAATGCACTCAAAGGAATTAAATCCTTAAGGACACCATGAATCTGAGCTCCCCCCCCCCCATGTGACCGCCAACTCCCCCACCCCATGGGACCGCAAATTCTCCCACCCCATGGGACCGCCAACAAACCCACCCCATGTGACCGCCAACTCCCCCACCCCATGGGACCGCCAACTCCCCCACCCCATGGGACCGCCAACTCCCTCACCCCATGAGACCGCCAACTCCCCCACCCCATGAGACCGCCAACTCCCCCACCCCATGGGACCGCCAACTCCCTCACCCCATGAGACCGCCAACTCCCCCACCCCATGGGACCGCCAACTCCCCCACCCCATGAGAACAAAACTCCACAACCTATAAGACCGCCAACTCCCCCACCACATGGGACCGCCAACTCCCTCACCCCATGAGACCGCCAACTCCCCCGCCCCATGAGACCGCCAACTCCCCCACCCCATGGGACCGCCAACTCCCCCACCCCATGGGACCGCCAACTCCCTCACCCCATGAGACCGCCAACTCCCCCACCCCATGAGACCGCCAACTCCCCCACCCCATGAGAACAAAACTCCACAACCTATAAGACCGCCAACTCCCCCACCCCATGGGACCGCCAACTCCCCCACCCCATGAGAACAAAACTCCACAACCTATAAGACCGCCAACTCCCCCACCCCATGGGACCGCCAACTCCCTCACCCCATGAGAACAAAACTCCACAACCTATAAGACCGCCAACTCCCCCACCCCATAGGACCGCCAACTCCCCCACCCCATGAGAACAAAACTCCACAACCTATAAGACCGCCAACTCCCCCACCCCATGGGACCGCCAACTCCCCCACCCCGTGAGAACAAAACTCCACAACCTATAAGACCGCCAACTCCCCCACCCCATGGGACCGCCAACTCCCCCGCCTCATGAGAACAAAACTCCACAACCTATAAGACCGCCAACTCCCCCACCCAATGGGACCGCCAACTCCCCCACCCCATGAGAACAAAACTCCTTAACCTATAAGACCGCCAACTCCCCCACCCCATGGGACCGCCAACTCCCCCACCCCATGAGAACAAAACTCCACAACCTATAAGACCGCCAACTCCCCCACCCCATGGGACCGCCAACTCCCCCACCCCATGAGAACAAAACTCCACAACCTATAAGACCGCCAACTCCCCCACCCCATGGGACCGCCAACTTCCCCACCCTATGTGACCGACAACAACCCCACCCAATGGGACCGCCAACTCCCCCACCCCATGGGACCGCCAACTCCCCCACCCCATGAGAATAAAACTCCACAACCCCAGCAGACATCGTTTACGGGGCTCCACCCCTTATTAATATCGGTTCTGTCTCTGCTAGATGGGTTGCTTTACCCAGCTAACGAGGTTCGTCTGTTTGGGGAATCAAGCATTTTAGGTTACTGTCACAGGCCTTTCTCCTACCTTTTATATTACACATACGAAATCAAAAGACAAGCCTTCTTTTACAGTTTTTCATATTTATTTCGTTTTCACACAGGCCGCATGTTCAGCCAAGCTACGCCATCTTCTTGCCTCCTCTCTCACTTCTTCCTTTCGCGTATGCGCACAGCCACTGTCTCCCAGATGCAATCTCGCCCCTCTCAACAAAACACACTCCCAAGATACAATCCACCAACATTTCACTGTTATAGTTACCAACTGTTCGCAATCCTAACCGACCACGACGTCTCCTCTCACACAAGGCCTAGTTTAAAACTGCTATAGATAGATCATTTCATAACATAGTATATATACATATATATATATATATATATATATATATATATATATATATATATATATATATATATATATATATATAATTATTCCTTCCTTTCTACCTGTTCAGTGGAAGAGGACAATGGCAGAGTTGTAGGACTAGCAATCGGCTTGACTCTGACAGCATTGGCTATCATTATTCTTTCTCTTTTCGTCCTTTGGTTTTATAAACGAAGAAGAAGAAATAATTCCGAAAACCCAGAACCTTCTAGAACTCAAATTAACTATATCAGCAGCCCTATTATCGCAGATGGTGTTAGCAATGGAGGTAAATCATCTTTTGTAATCATTTTACGATTGTGTAAATGTAATTTAAAACCAACACTGTTATCAGATTTTTGAACATTGTTCTACCGTCCTTGTCTTTCTACTATATCCAATCGGAATGAAGAAAGATGGAAGGGAATTGTTTTTTGTTTGGTTAGTTTTTGGTCTAAATACTGCCCTAAAATTATTACAATTTTTTTTCTTCGCAAAGGATATCATGTCTATGAAGATGTGGATGCCAATAATGGATACGTCTCTATAGATAACAGCAGTGGGGAGAGCCTGTACATAAGCCCAAGATTGTCCAACGTTTAACGAATAAGAATTTTATAAACCGACTCAACAATAGGCGATTATCTAATGGATTTTCTTTTTCCCTTCAAGAGCATTTTAAAATTCATAATTTATCGAATAAATATGCTTTGTTGTTCTTAGATATTGATTATATACACTTTAACTCAAATCTTAGTCGCTAATATTGCGATTTATTGCAGAACATTTATAATTCAATTCTCACTATAAAATCAAATGTCTGAAGAAAGAAGTTAACATAGTTAGTTAGTACTAGTTATTTGTATTTGGTTTGTACTGTAATATTGTCACTGTAAAACTCATTTTACGTAGGCGTCCTCATTAGATTTTAATTACCGTGAGACCTATGACACTTTGACGTCGATGGTTGAGGGTGAGTGTGGGTATAAGGGCTCTATCCCCACCAACGTATGCCACAATCACTTCAGTTTATATACCTACTTTGTTGCGCTTGAATTTCGTAATGTAGTTTTATTCAATTTATCTTTTTGAAAATATATGAAGCATAATTTTTATCATTACTAAGAAACAGTGATATATATATATATATATATATATATATATATATATTAGAAAAGTTGCTTATCAATTGACTATACTTCATGTTATTTACTTTCTTTATAAAGAAAGAGTAGTATCAAATGCTGGAGTAGGAAGTCATTCAAATCAACGTATAAAACCTGAAGTAGAACGTTTTAGTGGGTGTATAAAAACAGTTATTCTATTTGATCCATTATTTTAATGTCTCTTTCGCTTACATGGAAGATATGCCATGTGTTATGATTATATTACCATTGTTTAGTCGACATGAACATCATAATCTAGTTATAAAAATATATGAAGCATAATTTTTATCATTACTAAGAAACAGTGATATATATATATATATATATATATATATATATATATATATATATATATATATATATATATATATATATATATATATATATTAGAAAAGTTGCTTATCAATTGACTATACTTCATGTTATTTACTTTCTTTATAAAGAAAGAGTAGTATCAAATGCTGGAGTAGGAAGTCATTCAAATCAACGTATAAAACCTGAAGTAGAACGTTTTAGTGGGTGTATAAAAACAGTTATTCTATTTGATCCATTATTTTAATGTCTCTTTCGCTTACATGGAAGATATGCCATGTGTTATGATTATATTACCATTGTTTAGTCGACATGAACATCATAATCTAGTTATAAAATATATTGTGTTATAAGAAATTAAATACACTTTTGTTCCATTAAAGCCAAAAAAATTATTTCACAGAATTTGAATACATTGTTATACGAAAATATGTTCATTGACGATTCTGGGTAAAAAGTAATTTTAAAATAAAATTTTGAAAATTTGAAATTCAATCTTGAAAATTTAAAAAACGAAATTTTTGAAAGTAAGGCTTAGCTATAAATTGATTTTCCGCTTCATGACAACATTATCGTCCCGATGTGAAGAATGATAGAAGGATTACATTTTGTTGCAACAATGAAAACTTTTGCCCGACCATTTTTCTTACGAACATTGCGCTTATCAAAAAAATATTTTCCGAAATTGTTAAGTATTAATTAAATTACTTGATTACTATCTCTGTCTTTCTCTGTCTCTCTATCTCTCTCTCTCTCTCTCTCTCACTCTCTCTCTCTCTCTCTATATATATATATAGTCAAAGTTATAATCGACATTTGGCGCATTTTAAAAATGTTAAGTACCGAACAACTAACAATAAATGTGAATATCAATCAATACAGCATTCAGTCAAGCTATTGTCCCAGTTATAACTTCATTTTTAGCATGACATATATAAATAGGAAACGCACCTAATAACATGTGTATCTTTATCTTATAAACATCATTGAAGTCAATTTTAAAATCATGTATTTTGATCTGTCCACTTACATGCTGACGTTTTTATTCCTGTTCTAACCACTTTTGTACATTATATGTCTGCTTTGTATGGATTGTATTTTTCCCATTACATTTTGTGCAGAAAATAATCAATATCAAATTGTTGGCCTACAATAGAGTGAGAAGGTTTAGATTATGTTGCCGAATAAGCTAATGGAGAATGTGTTTATCTTAATGATGAAGAAGCGGATGTTTTAGAAATAAATCAATTACATGTATTTATTAATTCGATAATAACACTATTTAGTTATTTCCAAAGTTTAAGACTTCTAAAACCAACGGTTATCCTATTATCTTATATATAGACCTCAAACGGATTCTGTGCCGAGGTGTTTATTCCTAGTCTATTGTAAATAGCCGTAATAGGGCTATTCACGGTCCTGACTATTTTTGATATATTTAATGTTTGTCAAACATAGAATGAGTTTGAAAAATAGTAGTCGAGTGGACATGTGAGTGGACTGTAATGCTGGAATGTGCGGGTTCTAAACCAACATATACCTATCTTCATCGGACACTTATTGTCCCTTTGATTTTTGCTAAGAGAAATAATAAAACTAATATGCTTTCTTTCAAAAAAGCTTTCAGCGTCCAATGCTTTTTGAAAGAAAGCAGATTAGTTTTATTATTGTATTGTCAGTGCATTTAAAAGTGTACTGTTAGTACTGTTTTTATATAATTTTTTTGTTGATATATTACTTAAACAAAAAAGAACACTTTTCTACCGAAATCAACATACTAACTTTAATTAAGACATTTATTTTAAACACATAATTTATCACAGATAACGTATCATACAAAAAAAGCTCGAATACGAACAAATAAAAATTGAAAGTGTAGTGGGAGTCTTTCCCAGAGATGTTACTAAAACTGGGCTTGAGCATTTTCATCACACACACAATTATTAATTATCAGAAATGTTTCCTTAAACATTTCCCACCATTGTCAATTAACTTAAATAACTTTGTAAACAAAAATACTTACTTATTCCCTATTTTAAAGATATTCTTATTATAGACAATATATCCTTTTAAAATGTTTTATGTTGTTAAAATATGTTACAAATACTTTAAGTTCTTTTCAAAACAAGTAGTATTTGTATTTTAAAGATACCATTGTTTATATTATTTCACAAACGTAGTATATAACTCGGGAGCACAGGGTATCGTCTAGTAGTCGGAATGACGGAGTGTAATCTCCACAACCATCTAGGCCCATGTCTGGCTGACCTGTAATCAGAGGTTGGTGATTATATATATATATATATATATGTTACGGTCAAAGCCCGAAGTCGGCCAATGCTAGGATTGGCCGGCCAATCCGCGCATTGGCCAATATCGCCTACCATAGGTCGGTCAAAGTCCGAAACTTTGCTTGATTTCGGCCTTTGGCCGGCCAATCCGCAGCCTGGCCATGGTGGACCGGCCAAAGTCCGAATTAGAAGATCATGAGCAGATTTTTTTTTTTTTTATGAAATTAAGTCTTTATTGATTATTAATTAAAGTAAATGACAGAAACATTCAAATTTTTTATAGTACTATATAGCTGCTTGTTATTTTTACACTTGCAGCGATTTGTTGTGCACTTAGTTGTGCAATTGCAGCGAGTGTAGCCTTGCCCCCCCCCCCCCCCCAGTCAATGATTGTGGAGATGCGATGGTTCGTAGTGAATTTTCCTCAGTGCCAACTGACGACAATAGGAGCAGTTTTTCGTGAAGAATTGAAAACTCACTTCTAGCATACAGTTGTTTTAGAACACCATGTTCCGTTCCTAATTTGTAGAAACCGCCCTCGACGCTCATGACAACTGCAATCACGCTTCGGGGATCACCGTGACCTCTGTCAACATCTGGAAAACGGATGCGTACATTGTCACCCACCTCACCATCTTTAAATTTTGTATTTGATGTTTTAAGCTTCTTAGCACCTTGAGTTTGCAAGCCAGTATGAGCTGCTGATCTATGTTCCATGATGTCTTGTTTGTTGTGACACAATCTGCAGTTAATGTTCCCTCCGTACCCTTCGTCTGCTTCATTGGGTATTCCACGAATAGCATGGACATCGTTGCCACAGGATCCACAAGAATGGGCTGCACTACAATGTTTTTCACAAACTATACAGAATCTGTTGGCCACATTATTGTCACGCAACTGGTCTGGGCTTTCCGCCACGGCAGCAGATGTTTTAGCTGAGGATGTCGTTGCATTTATGGCAACCTCCATTTCTTGTTCAATGTTCTCAAGATCTTCCTCAGTAACTATTTTATCGAGAGCCCATATATGGAAACTAACATGGATTTACATTTTTTTTTACTTTGACAGCCATCTGCTATGTCTGTCTCATGGTCTGACGGCCCTTTTGATCCATGTCGCCTTGCATATAGAATGTTATACAAACAAGAGCTAAACAATACGTTACTCTCAATGAAAATGCACCCAGAATAATGAAAATGCGATCACAACTTAGTCTAGATAGAACATTGGCCAGGACATCCCGGCCAGTGCGCGCATTGGCCGGCCAATGTACGAAATACGATCTTAGTGCTAAGTTCTTCCAGCTTTGGCCAAGAGAGCCGGCCAATGCGCGGATTGGCCGGCCAATCCGCGCTTTGGCCGCACTTCGGGCTTTGACCGTAACATATATATATATATATATATATATATATATATATATATATATATATGTTACGGTCAAAGCCCGAAGTCGGCCAATGCTAGGATTGGCCCGCCAAACCGCGCATTGGCCAATATCGCCTCCCATAGGTCGGTCAAAGTCCGAAACTTTGCTTGATTTCGGCCTTTGGTCGGCCAATCCGCAGACTGGCCATGGTGCACCGGCCAAAGTCTGAAATAGCTCTTGATTTCGGCCTTAAGCCGGCCGATCCGCGGACTGGCCATGGTGGACCGGCCAAAGTCTTAATTAGAAGATCATCTGGCTAGGGACGACCGGCCAAAGTCCGAATTAGAAAATCATGAGCAGATTTTGGGTTTTTTAATGCCGTAAGGATCATGAAATTAAGTCTCTATTGATTATTAATTAAAGTAAATGACAGAAACATTCAAATTTTTATTGTACTATAGTCTCAATCAATCATTATTATCATTTGTTACAACAAGTTGAACTTTTATGGCATTTAGAATTACATAGCAGCTTGTTATTTTTACAGTTGCAGCGATTTGTTGTGCACTTGGTTGTACAATTGCAGCGAGTGTAGCCTTGGCCCCCAGTCAATGATTGTGA